TTTTATTTTAGAAAATGTGTCTAATATAGACAAGAAATCCATAATCGTAAAACCTAGAGATAATAACTTAAAAAATTAGAAGATTATCACAGAAGACTCAAGAGGCCAGTGACAAATGAAAAACAAATGCTTTGAGTGGATCAAAATATTTGCTGTTAATAAATGATATTTCTTGACAAGTCTGGAGCATTAACAAGTTTTGATAAACATTTTTGCAGAAAGCCCAAAGGTCTTGACTTTGGTCATTGGGAAATGTGAATTCAACACTTTAGAATTTCCATCTGTTGGTCTTATTGATTTTGGACTTAAAAAATTCATTATCTATTCCTTGTTTCAAGAAATATATAGTCGGGAGGGAAAAGAGCCACAGTGGACATCCACTATTATGAGATACTGTAGACTTTGCAATGTGAATAATTCCAAAAGGAAAATGAGATTGTCTATTAAATATTTGAATAAGATTTTTGAAGTTTACTTTATTACAAAATAATAACTACATATTAAATAAAAATTTAAAAACTAACAATGGTAATAAGTTACTATTTACATTTTTGTGATTGGCTTTTAGTGGTTTTTAGGCAATTTTTAATATATTTGTGATACTACTGTAGAAGCTTTTTTGAACTTTAAAATATTAATCTTTAGATAGGTTGGTAAAGATACCTTTGAAATCTTATTCTCTAGAGCTTTTATTTATGAGCCTTGGTTTTTCCTTTGTGCATGTTAAGTATAACTTTTGAATTGAAAAATTATAACATATAGGTTGTGTTTAAACAATATTGAAGTGAATTTTAAAAATTAGAATTTGGTTAATATGATGGGCAAGTTACAAAATTAGATTACAGATTAACTTCTGGATACCTAAATGGTCAGAACCTATAGTTGTGGCTATTAGCCTTAATACCATACCTAACTTTGAACCCAGGATCCTGTGCTTGAGAGGCAGGTGCAGTGCCATTGAGCTAAATCTCCTGGCCCTCCTACCATATCTAACTTTAAGTACAACTAGTTATTTGGTTACTTTTTATTTAATGACCAAGTCCACTGTTAGACTTTTGCCTAGTTCACAGGACTATCTCTAGTGCTTATCTTCTTTCCTGCAGGCTTGATTCTTTGTGAATATCATTTGAATAAGTGAATGATTTCTTTACTGGAAGGCTTGGGGGTAGCCCATGCATCCATGTACTTATTCATTCACCCATCATCAGTTGTGTTTTAGAGGATCTGCATGTACTTAGCACCATGCCTTGCACCACAGATACAGAGGAAATCTGGAAATTTGTTGTGGGGTGGGAAAGGACAAAGGTCTTCTACAAGGTCCTCTGATGCATCTGCAGATCTCTTTCCCAGTTATTCCAATGACAGATATGCTGAGGGTGGCTTGTGAGTCATTAACAGCTTAAGGTGAACTAGTTTTTCAAAATTCAGAGAGAATTTCAGAATTTCAGAGAGAAGGTTGAAGGGTGTCCTACGGCTTTGGAAGGGGTGCTTCCAGGTAATCATTTTCTCCCTTCTCTACAGTAGGAGTCCTGGGTCACAGGGAGGCAGCAGTGTAACAGTAACTTGCTCAACTGATGGAGTTTTCACCATCTAGCTACGTGATGAATGTGCAACTCCTCCAACCTTCTGAACCTCAGGCTCCTTGCCTGCCTGGGAGGTGATGGGCCTGGAATATGCCTGTGGGTAGGGAAGGGTCTGTGAACTGCATGGCCACACACTCCCCCTTTGCCAACTGAGCATACACCTGCTGCCCTGTGCATGGCCTGTCCTGTGTGGCTTCGTGTCTCCAGAAAGCCCCCCTGGCTTCTTGCACCATGTGCCATAAGAATACTAACTGCACCTCCACCACCTTTATCCTCCCCTATGGGAACAGAAGCTAATGCTGCCCCCAGCAGTCCCAGGCAGCAGGGAGGCTGTGCCGGAGGAAAGTCAGACTTGGGGGAGAAACAAGGCATGAGCCAATCTTTGCTTTACTGGCACAAGGCTCCCCTGGGCCAGCCCTCTGGGGCCCTGGTGATTCACCACCATGAGCCCTTGGTTGGTGATCTTTCTGGGACGAGTCTGTCCAGCAGAGCCTCACTGTATGCCACAAATTTGTTGCACTGACCTAGAGATTAGGAAATTCCTTTCCCCTTACCTTACCTGCATCAGTTGGATCCAAACCAGAACTGCATCTGGGGGATCTCAGGGGTCTGTTTCATTCCTGCAGTAATTCCCATATCTGCTGAGGTGGACTGGGGTGCAAGAAAAACAGAAAAATATAAGCAAGTGTCTCTGCTGGTCTTCAAGAAGGAAGCTCTGCCTCCCACCTCAGGGAAGCGGCAGGGAGGGAGTAAAGTGGCCTTCCTGTGTTGTGCTCCTGGGGAAGGCAAGCTTCTCAGTTCATGTGATTTTACCTTTCTAAAAGTGTTTTCACCTTTCTAAAAGTGTTTTCATCTTTCAAAGAATGGGGAAAATCATAATATAAAAAACGAGAGTTGAGATGTTTGAAGAAATGTGTTGTCCACTGACTAGAAATCTGAATTCATGGAAAATATCTGCTCATTTCTGTGAAAGCCATTATCAATGGTAATTTCACTTAGTAGTTTGAAAAAACAGCATTAAAGTGCTTCCCATACTAAAATGGGAAGCGAGTAGGAAATGTGTTGTAACCTCCTCTTTTAACAAAAAGGGAAGCAGGGGTTACTCAAAAGCCTTAGGATCTCTTCAGGGGGAGGATCTCAATCTCTGCTCTTTTTGCAGGCCCTGGGGGAATGAGCTAAGTCTAAACACAGCACTGAAACACAGTGGTGGTTTATAAATGCAGCTAATCTGGCCCTGCTCCTCTCAGATAATCTCTTGTGGTGTTGCTTACTTTTCCTTTAGAGTATTAAATACAGTCTGCTGTTATGTACTTATTCATATCCAGTCAATTCCTCCCACACCCATATTATGACCACAGAAACCAAATCTGTTTTGTTCACCTTCTTATGGGTCCTGCAAAATGCCTGGCACCCTGTGGCTGCCTGCCAAGTAAGTGTGAAGTTACTGAGTGATGACCTGCCCCTATTGCGGAAATTCTAAACACTGGTAACACTTAGTCCTGAGCCTTTTCTACCTCAATAGCTTAATCAAATGGGAATAATAAAATATCTGTTCTTAAGGATTTTTTGTTTCTCCCCAGTTGGGGAAATCCATTACTTAGGAAATGTTGCACTTTCCAAATGTTCCAAGTGTCTGTGAATTGGAGAACGTTCTCCAAGATGCTCCCTCATGCCCTGGTCAGTTCATGATCTTTGGGTGTCCATGAATAAACGGGAAAGAAGAGGTTACCTTTACAACACCTAATATAATGGGTTTGGCACTAATCATGTATTTAGAATCTTTGGTGGAGTTCTCTCTTTGCCACATGCTGAGTTGGGTACTTGAAGCTGCTCTGAATACAGATACCATTATGCTCAGGTAATGAGGACATGGTGTGTGCGTGCTGTGTGAGATGGGTCAGGCATTCAGTGAGTCTCCAAGAACAAGCCAAATTAGCCAGCCAAAGCAGCCATTCTAAGTGGAGGGGACAGGGTGATGAAAGACACAAAGGCGTGAGAACTCCCAGCCAGCTCGGATTCCATGTCTGCATGTTTACTTAGGGCGTGTACTGGTTGAACGATCATTATTTGTTCCTGATCAAGGCAGCAGTGTATGAAGACATTTGTTCCAGGTGAGAACAGGCTCTCTGCCTCTTTGGAGCTTTTAAACCTTGGATTGTCTGCAAGAGCTGTCACACAGGCTGTTTCTGAGAAACCACACTCTGGGCCCCTGACGACAGTGGGGGAAGAGAAGGAGTCTCATTTAGAGCTACTTCCTGCAACAGAGATCTCAAGAGAGCCCTGTGACTTGTGAGCTATGATTCATTTCAGGGTCTTTCCATGCTTTGGAAATGGAAAGGCCTCATGCCAGGACCCTGTCAACAGAGGAGGGAGCAAGCGTGCTACACCCATGACCTGGAGGAGGGGAGTGGGCTGATCGAAGGGGCCTCTCTGCCTCTCTAAATTCAGAGGGGCTGAAAGCCACAGCTTGGCTGGCTTCCGACAGACCCTGGTGTCTGATACCTCTGTGGAAGAGCTTGGTGGGCAGCATGCTTGCTCCCCAGCTGGCTGTGGAGGAATGAGGTCTTTGCCAGCTTGCATTGGTTTGTTTTTAGGGTGCAACATTGGGCAGTGGGTCTGGGAGGCCCATTCACAGAGGTGGCTTTGTTACCTCAATGCTGGTCTGCTTATGTTAACACTGATTCTTCTTGTAAAGTGATATATAAGCAGGGTTTCAATCACAGGTGAAAAACAGTAAGATCCGGATTTCTATGAGATGATTTTGGCCCCCTTCTAGGAGATTGAGCATCTTCCTGACTCAGGCTGACCCAGAGTTCTGTAGTGTCTTTGCACAATGAGCTAATCCATGGCCCCTTTCCTTATTCAGGCTCCAGATAGGTTCATGTTCCAGAGTGTTCAACCCTCACCACCAGCTCCGATCCATAGCCCAGTCAACTACTGTCCTCATTACTAGGTCCTTCCTGTTAACTGAGGAAATAGGTAGCTCAGGATTTAAAGCATTTAAACAAAGCTACTAGGATACTTAAGCCTTTCTCTCAGTGATTTATTTGGTCTAGCCTAGCCACCTGGGATTTAAGATGTAGTGAGAATTGCTTTGTTATTTATCACACACCATGTCACCTCCTTAACTGGAACCACCGGATTGATTCAGGCCACCCCTCGACTCATGCATTTGAGCACACAGGCACAGAGATGTTGACCATCATGTCTGAGACAGCACAGCTATTAAGGGGAGGGGATGTACCGAGGGACCCAGCTCTATTGATGTCCAACTTAGCTCTCAGTATACCATCTCATGTTTCTTCCTCCCTCACATCTAGCCACAAGGATTTTATTGCATTGTTTCCTCCTGTCCATTATGGCTGTATAACCACAGCACAGTGTTCTTTATGTAGACGGTACTTAAGAAAATTGTTGCCCAACTTTTTTATTTGCTTGGAGTTGCAATGCTGCCTTGCAGGAAATGTCGTAGAAATGTGTGGGAGTGCTCTGCAAGGTACCTTCCACGTCTCTCTTCTTTGGTTTTCATGGACTGGGGAAGTGATATTTCTTACTCTTGAATAGAGAGAATAAATTAAGCTGTTTCCAGAGCCGAAAACAGTACTTCATGCAGAGGTTAAAATCCCCCCACGGACCATCATGTGTTTGGGAACGCCAATAAACTGCTGAGTCTCTGGATCTTCTGAGCTTAATAGGAAAAACATTTTTCCAATCTGGGGAAGAAAATGCATGTTTTGTAATTCATGTAAATAAAACCCAAGCACCATCTTTTAGAAAACTAGCTCCCACTGTGGCGTGCTTACTATTTCCTGTATACATTATGATGCTTGTTTTGCTGTCCCAGTGCAAACTCATTTAATCCTCAGCTCCACAAGGTAGAATTTGTATTATTCTAAATTTTATGAATGAGATGACTGAGGTTCATTTACTTGTTCCAAGTGACATAGGTAGAAAGCAGCAGAGCCTGGAATCAGGTTGGCTAACTGCAGGCCCTCCAATCCAGAAAAGGTGATATTTCACTTCTGAAGACATGACAGATGGGCTCCCTGAGATGGACACTCGAGGGTGAACTGCTGTCTCTTAGCAGTTTCTTTGTGTTCAGACTCTAGAAGGGGGAAGCAGGGAGGTGCTTGTTTATCTCATCCTTCTCTGATCCCAAATCTGCATCCTATCCCCATGGGAAGAGAAGAAGGAGGAGAGGAGACCAGGCCATCTCCACCTTTCCTCCAGACTAGACACCAGGGGCCACAAGGACCAGGAAGACTGGGCTTTGGTGCATGGTCTTAAGTTTCTGGTGCCTGGGTTTGGAACACAGTTATACTTGCTCCAGGGAAGATAGAAGGATGGTATCTACAAATATTGAGTATCTGAATTCATTTCCATTGCTTTTAGGAAGTCATTTTCCATGGGAATTCAAGTTATGATAAGGACTTTTTCTGTCCTTTACACATGTGTAGGTCATGTGAAATTTATAATTGCCAAATGCAACAAATATATGTGTCCCCTCTCATGATCTTAAACAAGTGTATTCCAGAAATAATCTGTTTGTTTCTTTATAAGAGTGCTTTGCTTGTTCTTGATATTGGTATTAGATTCCTCTTTCCTTAAAATGGCTGCCACACAGAATAGCAGCCTCCATGTTAAATTATGGCTTCTCCTGATAGAGAGCACCTTAATAGCAAAAAACTTAGGAAATGTCACAGTGTAAGATAACTTCTGCCCTTTGCTCTGTTTAGTTCAGAATTAACCAGCATGGGAGGCATCTAGTCTCCCTAAAAAGTTCTGTAAATGAAAAGAACCATTGTTAGTTTTGCTGACCAAACATGCCCCCTTCCCCTTGGCTAGAATAGATAACTAGATGAAGTTTAAAGGTAACCTCCCTTACCAAAGAAGTGCTGCATCTGGGTTGAAATTCAACTGCCTCGCCACCATGCTTTGAATATCAGCAGTGTGAACTGTGAAAATGCAATGTAACAACCTAGATGAGATCATGGCCATAAAACCCTATAAAAGAAGGAGTTGTAACAGTGGGTCAATCCAGGCACAGCTTATGTGCGATCGACCCTCATCAATGAGTAAAATTTTGTTATTTTACTTCCATTCTGTTGCCTCTCTGTCACTTGCCAATTCCTTCCATAATACTCCCAACAAAGGACCAGGTTCTTCTTCCCATCATGCCTCTTCTCCCAGCCAAAAGAGTAACCTGATACTGGCTAGCTCCTGGCAGCTAGTGATGTCACAAGCCCCTCCTAGTGATGTCACAGGCTCCTCCAATCTCTTATTACCACCTCACTCAACACCACCCCTGCTTAGGCTAACACCACCCCACTCCTATAAAAGAAGCTCCTTGTTCTGTTATATTTCTCCCTCTTCTTTGTCCAGAGACAGCCCGGTGGACCTCCCCATAATAAAGGCTTGTTATGGTCCTGGCCTGGTCCTGGTTTGGGGGTTTGTTTTTTTTTTACTGGACAATCAGGTCATTAGAAAATTGTGCTATTCCAGTAATGAAAGCCAGTTTTTTTTTTAGCAATATCTGAATAACAATTAAGGTTTTTTTTTAAGTATGTATTTTTTTCTCTTTTACCATGAACTTCTTCAATAGAACTAAAGATACTTTCTGTCTTAAGTAAGCTCACAATTTAAAGATATTATAGTGAAGACATTGGTTTTTTATTGTAAACCATTTGGGGGGAAAGTGCTCATTACAAGTTTTAATCCAGATAAGCAAGCAAACCTATTAAGGGAGAAAAAGAGGAGGTATTAAACCTCATGGGATTTATTACTCTTGGAGTTTTATGGGTTTTTTTTCTCTGTAGGGGAAAGCTGTTCTCTATCAACCCTAATCATAAATACCACAGTACATGATTTTAAAGGAAATAAAACCTGTGAAATCCCTTTATTAGCAGCAATTAGCTTGAAAATTAGCATATTCCTTTCAAATTCTGGAACACTTTGGGTGCTTTGGGGAAATAAATGAGAGGTAGTAAAGAGCTAGGTAAATATGTAATCTCCACTCCACAGTTAGCCTTGCAGCAGGACACTCAGATCTTTGAGGCAGAAGAAGCCATTAGAGGAAAAGCAGATGGATACCTGGTGTACTTCCCCAGAGCAGGTGGGAAGCAGAACAGTGCAGCTATATTCTTTACCTTCTGTTCCATTGGCACAGGAAACATCACTATAGTCCAGTTCCCCCCAAATTTGTTAAGGTTTCCAAGGAATTTGAAGCCATTAAGCCAGTTAAGCTCAATGAAACCTCAATGTGCCTCCTGGAATCATTTTGTCACGTGGAAGAGGAAATATGTCTTATCTTGATTTGCTTTTAGTCAACTCGGGAGTCAACAGCTAAATGTGGAAAATGGAATGCAAGGTGAAGATTAGATCTAAACACTGTTAAGCTAGACAACAGACTTTTGAAGTCTGCATTTTAGGGTGGAAATGGAAATTCACCTTTGGGGTCCAGTAGTCATTTTGGAAGAAGGAGTTGAATATAACCTTCCTGCATTATGCTGCCAGTACAGTAGCAGCTTCCTTTCTGTCCCCAATTCAGAACCCTTGCGGGTGATTTTGTCCCCTGCTATTTCCACAATGACTGTTGCAAACTAGGTACTACATAAATATCTGCAGGAATGAATGTATGCTTGACCTAAAGAAGAAATTCCTTATGCCACTTAAATGAATATGGGAGCTTGGAAATGTGTTCCTAGAATCCTGAGTTCATGCTTGAAATGCAATAGAGGCTTTTCTATAGAAGCTGTATCTATACAGTGACTGAAATATAGTTATACTGATTTTTTTTTTTTTTTTGTACTGGGGATTGAACTCGGGACCCTGTGCTTGTGAGGTAGGTATGGTGCCACTGAACTAAATCCCAGGCCCTGAAATATAGTTATTGTAAAAGCAATCTTGGCACTATAATTACTAGAGGCACTTGTGGCTTGGCCTGGGTCTCTTGTTATAATCTATGATACTGTTTCCATGGGAAAATGCATTCTTAGTACAAAAACTGATTAAGAAGTAACCTTGGGAAATAGAAAACTACCTTGGTGGAGACCTCCTTGAATTTCTGATTCAACTATTTTACAATTTGTTCACAAATAAAACATTGCCAAGAAATCTGAATTGCCTTTGTTCTTTTGGTTGGCGGGTTCCTAGGAGAAAAGGCGGTGTTACAATCAGGAATGTAGCTATGATACTTCTGTTACTGGACCAGAAAGTCTAGAGGGTTTTAATAGACAAGAGAGGGATCCTTGTAGGTATGTTAACATCTCAAATAATCTGGCCAGAAAAGAATATGGCCCAGAGCTGCCATAGTGGGTCACCAGAAATCCTGATTTTCTTTCTTTTTTCTTTTTTTGCCCTGAGTTTTATTTTTAAAATTAAGTTTAGTGGTACATTTTAGGTATACAGTACAGTTACATTCATCATTGAGGTCTTGTACCTTTGCATGATGTATCTTGGTTCTTATTTTTCCCCATTCCCCTACCCTCCCTTCACCCTCTCCACCCTTCCTTATTTACAAAGACATTGTTTCCATTTTGTCATATTCTTTCTTTTCCCTTCTTACCTTTCCCCTACCCCTCCCACTTCCCCTACACCTTTAGACCTTTTTTCCTATTACACAATATTAATCAATTATACATTTTGATCCTTATTTACACTTTTACTTTTTCACACCAGAGAAACTATTTGGTATTTACACATATGTGTCCTATTAATTTCACTTAACAGTATGGCCTCAACATGCACCCATTTTACCTATAAATGTTTCAGTTTCTCATAATTTATGGCTGAGTAGTACTCCATTTTATAAAAAAAAAAAAAAAAAACACCCACATCTTCTTTATCCAGTCTCTAGTTGATGGGCAATTGGGCTGTTTCCAAGTTTTAGTTATTACAAACTATGCCACTCTAAACATGGGTGAGCATATATCACTGTTGTATGATTTTTAAAATTCTTTTGGGAAGATACCCAGCAGAGGAATAGCTGGGTCAAATAGTACTTCTAATCCTAGTTGTTTGAGGTATCTCCATACTGATTTCCATAGTGGTTGCTCCAGTCTGCACTCCCACCAACAATGAAAAAGTTTCCTGTCTACCCACAACCAGAGCAAATCAAGGTGTCATCCTAAAAGATCACAATGTTTAGCTCTGAAAGATGGCTGGGCCATCACATGTAATGACCAACTTTGTTGCATGCTGATGCAGACTCAAGCAGGCACCTACCTTACTATCCTGGGTGTTAGGGCTGGCATGACTGGCAAGCAGTCTCAGAAGGCAGCAGAAGCCTAGCACCTCATATTCTGAGTGAAGAGCCTGAGGCTTCAGGAGAAAGTGGAATGGCTTAGCCACCTGGTTCTGAGATGATATCATCTGGTAATGGAAGTGTTGCTATTAATTCCAAGAGGCTTCCAGACTGACTGTACAGAGCTGCTTGCTAGGACATGAAGAGACATCTCTCCTGTAAGGCTTACAGCTCTTGGTAGGGGGAAAAGTAGAGTTGGAAGAAAAATCCTAACACTAACAAGGCAGAAAAGCAGTTTTTAAGTAGTCTTAGGGGTTTGCGATTCCAGTCAGGAGATAGAGAACCTTGGGTAAGGGACAGCACTGAGCTTTTGAATAAAGGCAATATCAATAGTCATTGTGTCGCCCATTGTGGCTCCTCTGGCAGTGCCTTATTGCAGGAACAATAGTTGCCTCATGTTTTGGCAGGAAGAAAGCCATGAAGGATGTTAGCCAGATTAACCAGCCTGAGCAGAAATGTTGACAGTGTGTTACCTTCATTTTCAGGTAGGCTTTTCCCAAGTGATGGCTAAGATAAATACTTATAAATCAAGCCACCATGCTGGCTGCCCACCAGCCTGGTTACTCAAAATGAGAGACATTCACTTCTTTCCCAAGAGAATCATTGAAAGTTCCAAGGGTGGCACTTGGCAACCCAGCATAGATCAGGACTGTGATCTTGAGTGTGCAGACCTCGAGTCCTTCGACAGAGATTGGTGGAGAAGTGATTCCCCAAGACAAATGGAATGCTTTCTCTTGAAGAAGAGGGAAGATCTGGGAATAGTGGTGCACATCTATAATCCCACCACTCTGGAAAGCTAAGGTAAAGGTATTATAAGTTTGTGTTTAGTCTGGGCAACTTAGTGACTTAGAAAATTCCTTTCCCCAGGCAAAAAGGCTGAGGATATAGCTCAGTGCAAAGGCCTTGGTTTCAATTCCTACCACTGGGGTAAGGGAAGGGGAAGAGCAGAAAAACATCAAAGGATTACATTTCCACAAATATTTCCAAAATACACAGCCAGCTATAAGTCAAAGCCAGAATTTAAATGAGGGAACAATCACACAAGACCTTTAGGTAGCTGTCACTGTTCCTAGAAAGTGAAGAGGTTTTCCTCTATCTCTTCTAGAACATTTCTTAAGTAAAGTACCTTTAAGCATGTAGCCCACAAAATAACCATGTGATTTACAAATGTGTAAAGCAGAAAATTGGGGAAGCAGGAAGGAGGCTAAGAGAACTCTGGTATTCTACCAATAAACATAGATGGCATCACTTAGCATAAGGGAGGAAATGAAGCAAGACTTGAAACCATGAAATGGGCATTGTGTGTGTGTGTGTGTGTGTGTGTGTGTGTGTGTGTGTTTGGCAAAAAAAAAAAAAAAGCAATGCACTATCTGTGTCAACACGTAGCCCAATGAAACCATGGGTAATTTCCTTCGTTGTGATGTCATTACATGGCAGTGACATGCTTTTCTTTCTTTCTTTCATCATTTGCAAAGTTCTGAGTTAATGTGGTTATACAATCAGCTGTTCTAAATCAAGGGAAGTCCCTCCAGTTCAAGGGTGCCTTTGTTCAGAAGGCTCTATTAGTAAGAGCTGCGGGATTTGAGGTGCTTCCCTAGGTTTCTTTGAAGTTCAATTTGGGATACCAGCATTTCCTCCCACACAGGGTGCTGCTGGAATTCAATGAAATGAGTTGATGCATACAAAGCATTTAGCACAGTACCTGTGCAAAGTAAAGCTCAGCCTACACTGGCAATTTACACTCTAATGTTTATTCCATTAAAATAATAATAGTTCTGGTAATTATTATGGATATGTTCTTTCCTAACAGTGAAGCCTTACAGGGCAGGGACTATTAGTGGGTCACAGCAGGTACTCTATGTGGAAAGAAAGAATGAAAGAGGGAG